AGCTGCCTCCCCATCCCTGTGCCCTTCAGCTTAGCTGCCTGTGGTTTCACCCCATGATCCACCCCTCCCCTGCTGGGCAGAGCCCCCCCACCCCCTTTTCCTCCACAGACTTACCGGACAGATGCTGCTCTCCAACTGTGCAAGGACAACATTCACCCAAATGTAAGATTTGAAGGAAAATGAATGGCACAATGGAACAGACTTAAAATGGGAGTCTTCTTAGGAAAATTACCATAGTATTTAATATTGGAAAATTTACTGCTCAGCCCATCTGTTCTTTGTGTGCACCTCAGAATCATATCACACCTTTGCTTCAGTGCTAACAGAACACAATACTGTTTAGAGAGTGAACTAGATTCAATTCCTTTTCATGTATCATTATAACTATTTTTGACCTACAAGTAAATACACTGGCAAAGCACGGATTGTGGGACTACACAGGTGTCCTGATGGTATAATTCTAAAACAAGAAGACTAAACAGATACAGTTTACAGCACAGTTTGGCCTGCAGAACATTTACAGTAGTAATCATGCATAAGAAGGGAAAACAAAGAACTAGGATGTCAGATCCTACACTGAGTATTCTGCGGTGACAATTATACAACTAGAGATAATAAGTGGCTACTAAGAAAGACATGGAACCAGCTAATACCATTTTTGTCACTGTTCTGTGTAGCTGTTTGTATATCCTTAACTGTGCTTTGCCCTTAGCTTCAAATGACTGATTGAATAAATAGAATTTTAACTATAAATGACGTGTCTTCAAAATTCTCAAAAAAAGCACCACTTTATTCCATAATCTCTTTTAAAGATCTCTTTCAAAAGAAAAAAAAGTTGGTGATAAATCTGTTCAAGCATGCATTTATCAAGCATATTACTTTACTCTTAAAATACTTAATAATTTTTCAATGTTATAAGTACCAGCAGACCTTTCAACAGTCATTAATTTTTTACAACTAATTTGTGCTACTTTATCGTTAGGGACTTTTCAAAGCTACTCACTTTTTCAACTAATTTACAGAGCAATAATTAGCTGTGTTAATCTGAAGTCAGGCAGAAGGCAAGGCAGGGTGGCACCTTATAGACTAACCCATTCAGAAATGCTATGACTGGATTTACAGAGGTACTAAATAGAAATGAATCAAATAATCTATATACAAAAATAGGGATAGGGAGAGGAAGGGATGAGGGAACACTTACAATACAGTCCCCAAATGGTAGCCACCCAAATCAACAGAGCAGACTCAGACCCCACTTCAATCTGCTACAATACCAACCCTATGACAAAGACAACAGAATCCCTCCTGTTTTCACCTATAGCCCCCTCTAGAAAACCTTCTTCACACATCATTAATGACCTCCAATCCCTCCTAGAAAGTGACTACCAGCTCAAGATACCTTTGGAGGACAAGCCTATCTTTGGTTAAAGGCAGCTCACTAACCACAAATGATGTCCCTCCAGCAACAGACTATCTAACTCCTATTCTCAAAAAGGCACCAAGGCTTGTTCCATACGCAGATCATCACTGCACCAAACAATATGGATTATAACATCCAGAATTCATTAACCCATTCCTCTACCAATACTGCATATGCCATCATCTGCCTACACTGCCTCTCTGCTATCTAAACTGGCCAGACAGGAAATCCCTATGTGAAAACTGTAGCACAAGAAATTTTCAACAGACCAGATTGTGTTAAGGATGAGCTCAACAGAGATTACAGATTCTTATCCCATTGCCTAGACTAGCCTGGAATAAATTACTTTATTCATTGTAACCCTTATATCCTTAACTATTTTGCTTATCTTTGATCTCTTCAACTCACCTTTGCCTCTCTCAACATTGCCCCCTTCCCATTTCCCTTCCTCTCCCTTTGTCTATTCTTCGTAATGAAATTACTTTGTTCGTTTCTATTTAGTATCCCTGCTGTCTGCAAGTCCGTTCATAGCATCTGACGAAGTAAGCTGTTGCCCATGAAAGCTTATGCATTTCTGAACAAGTTAGTCTATAAGGTGCCACCCTGCCCTGCCTTCTGCATAATTTGTTTATGCCTTCAAGTCCCCTCCCAGCTGCAGCCTCATGCACTCTGCAAAAGTGCAGTCAGTTTTAAAGCTACCTATGAAATCTCTAATATTTGGCTGATGGTGGGTGTATACAGAAAATGATCCAAATGCCTAAAGTTCTGAAGCAAAGCTCTTGAAACTTAACAGAAGTGGGTTTTGGCTCTGTCCCCTTAAAGCCAGATTAGAATCTTTGCAATATCTGAGTGCATATCTTAGGTAAACAGCATTTCCAAATTAGCAGATCTGATACATTTACACTGAAAGAATACTTACAATATAAAAGTCGCTAAGATCATAGAGCTTTCCTTTTCTTTGACTGTGCTGATGACTATAAACTCCCTTCTGAATGAAAGGTAAGGCATTTACTCTGTAATGCAATTCAAAACAAGTTTTAAAAAACTGAACATAAAGAAAAAAAGCTCCTACATATTGTGGAGAGTATCTGAGATTTACAACTTTTTATAAATGTATTCATCGTACCTGTTTTTGCCAAACTGTCGATATTCATAAACAGTAAGAGATCCATCACATGTAAAAAAGAATCCAATCAGCTCCCTACAGGCATCACGCCCATTCCTAAAATTATCATGGAAGAGTACCATTATAGCTTTGTGTTTAACTGAATCCACAGATTCATTCATACAGATGATTACACCACTTTTTAAAAAAATGTATCTTCAGTAACAGTTCAGTGACAGAGACTCTATACTGCATTATCTTTTATCAATACATTGCTGGTTTTGATTAGCTTAGTTAAATACTGAACTACTGTATACTAACTTATGGATTTGGTTATGTATTCTGTTCTTTGCCAAAAATGCCTTTCAAACTCTCATACGCAGTATATTAAAGGACCTTTCACAACTCAGCAGACCAATTACTTACATAAGGATCACTATGTTGGTCATTATCTGAGAAGCTAATGGACTGAATTATGAGCTATGTCCAAGTAAGAACTTAGTGCAGCTGAGGGAAGCTGTTTTTAACCTCTCCTTCCAAAGTCAAAGGAACAATTTAGTTTATCCCCATCCAGTTTCATGCAGCCTCATAGCTGCTCTGAGCTATATCAGTATGTAACAGCCCCAAGAAAAATTATACTTAATTCAAATACATATGAACAAATCACACTTATTTATTTCTAAACAGATGGTTCTGAGAAAAAGCAAGTTGTAATTATGCCAACTGGTTGCAATTATTCCAATAGAAAACCATTCACAAGCTCAAAGAATTAATACAGGATTTTACAAAATTTCTCATTACCTTGAGAGAATTCTACAATCAAAGCGTAACTTGTTAGAAAGCATATTTTCAGTTAATGCTGATCTGGTCCTTATTCTGTCAAAAGAATGTTGCATATTAATCAATAGATCTGTTCTAAGAAAGCAAAATATCATTACTATTTGAAACTATTTCTAGAAAAAGCAATTGGATTAGGAGCTGATCCAGGTAACTGTGAAAGTTACCTGGATCAGAAAAAGGACCTAGTATGCAGAGGCTGCACAAACAATCAGATCATGTGATTATCCACCACAACAAGGCAAGCACAATCACAGGAAGTGTCAGCATTAACAGGGTCTACTTTATTTAATGGCTGACAAAAGTAATGAAACTCAAAGTGTTTTCCTCTTCATTTCCCTTGGTTCCCTTGAGGATAAACACTGCTATGAGAAATAGTCCCTTGAGTAGTAACAGGCCTACAACTTAATTCCACACTCAACCGTGTTCAATAAAAGAGCCAAACTCCTCTAATTTATAGTGCTGGATTTCAGGAATGTGAAAGACTAAAGAGTCACTGGAGAATAGCTTACGTGACCCTCAGATCTCAGCACACAAGATGATTTTTTACTCATCAAGATGCTTACCAGCATGGAAATTATCTGGGTTCTGGCAAGCATGTATCTAGGGATTTGGGGGCATCCCCAAGGTGAGAGATCTAAAGTTCATGGCTATGCCACTCCAGGGTAGTGACACACTGTGCTGCTCTACTCCTGGTACCTGCTAAATTAAGAGCTGTGTACTGTGCTGCTCTACTCCTGGTACCTGCTAACCTAAGAGCTGTTTAGCCACATTTCAGAAGAGCCAATTTGCCAGGGCAGAGCAAACATAGCTATATTGCTTCTTATATGAAAGCTGGCATGTGCAGAACCAGCTCAAGTACCTGCACTGCACTTCCTTCGGCCTAGATCTTCTCGACAGGAGTATTTTTACCTGCATAACTGTTTCTTTAGCCTTCTATTCAGCGACAAACAGATACTCAAGCTAGGTCTCTTTGGGGTGGCACTTCCCAACTTAGAAATAGTTTAGCTCTGTTCACATTATGCTGCGCCTCAGTTAATTAGCTTTGTTTGCAATTAGCTTGTTTGGAAGAGCTATTTAACCCACCCTCAGGCCTGCACCAAGGTGGCTATACCACTTGGGATCAAATAGCTCCCTGGTGCCAGAACAGAGCTGCACATCCTTTCATAGCATCTGATGAAGTGAGCCCACAAAACTTGTATATCTACCTTGGCTAGTCTACAGGGTGTAAATCTAGCCTTTTACTTGATTTCAGACTAACATAGATCTAGTGCAGGGTCAGTCTGCAGGCCAGATCCGGCATGTAAAACTAGATCACTCTGCATAAACATGCCCTAGAACAGTGGCACCCAACACTGGCTCCACAGGTCAAATGACTGGTGCAGGGTCAGTCTGCAGGCCAGATCTGGCATGTGGAGTCAGCCTCAGGCCTCATCTGGCAAGCAAAGCCATGTCACGTGGCCCATGGGGCTCTCTACAGGTTTGGACATTTGATGATGGAATAAGCAGTGGCAGCATTAATTGCTGCAGCTCCTGCAGTGATCAGGAGGCAGAGGACTGGCATAAGGATACTAGAGGAAGGTACATGGACACAGGTAACATAAATGAAACAAAGACACTACTCCTAGAAACACCAAGCTGTTTTTCCAAGGCACTTGCACTACCTATAATGAAGGGCATCCATATAATGGCTAAAAAGCACAACTCACTTTTCTAATTATTGTATCAGTAAAACTAGAGGAATCAGATTTTACTATACTTGCTAAAAGTAGTCTTTAGATCAAGCATGCCAAGTTTTAGCTTAAAAGATGTAACTTTTGCTAAAGTTACAAAAGGCTGAAATTAGAAACCATGAGTTTATCCATAAGAAACAACTACAGCCTAAGAAAACTGACCTTGTTTCATGTAATGTTCTTTTTCTAAACCGCAATGGTGCTGTCCCAAGTGCTGGAAGCATAAGGTCTCTCTGGTAAGGATCATTACTTGTGTTTTGCTCTGGGTCACTTATTACTGCCCTGATTGAAAAACATATGCACAGATACACCTATGTACTGCTACAGCAATGCAACAATTACTTCACAAATGGGCAATAATTCTATACACCTTGGGTATGTAGAAAAGGAAACTAAAAATTACACATAAATGCAATAGTGACCCATTAGTATGTACTCATTGCATGCTATCATAATGTAATTTTAAATAAATAAATAATGCCAACACTCTTCTAAGGCCTTATGTACCTGAAAAGGTTCAACCAGCCCTGCCTAAGCAATCTGAGACTCCCACCAGAATCAAAGTCCTAGAATGGGATAATCTTCCAGTACTGGCTAGTGAGGGTCAAGAAATAAAAGCACAAGGTAATAAATGCCTGTCTACAGTGCTCCAAAACTTGTACACTAATGCTCCTTGTTCCAGTTAACACGTGGGAAATTCAGGGGGCCCTTTACAATACACCATTAGTCTACTTGCATCCTTGTTATTAACAGTAGTTCAGTATTGAAGGAAAAACAAACATTTTTAAGCCATAATCGTGCACCTTGATCAACCCATGGGTGAGGGGAAGGGAGGCAGCTTTTATGTCTATGTAGAAAGAATCCCAGTCACATATCCCCGAAACTGATCTGACAGTAGGATTGGGCTATTTACATATACACAGAACAAACCTTATTGTGTTGCTTTTAATAATTTTCTTATTTCAATGTTTTGGACTCTTCTTCCCAGACTATCATCCTACTCTGATTTCTTTTGTTAGTATTGGTTGAGTTATAGATGTTACATTTTAAAATAAAAATGTAATAGGGCTGCAGCTAAAGCACTACTGAGCACTGTATCCCATTTTCATTAAAACATTTTAGAGCAGGAGAAGAAATTTAGGAAGCATAAAGAGAGACACAAGAGGAAGTTAAGCAGGAAATTAAAGTCACAGAAACCTAAGGTCTCTATCTGGACATATATTTAAGACCTAGATTACTGCCATAAAAGCACTCTAACAAAGAATTAGTGAATTTAGTAGAACTAGTGAATTTAAGAGAATTATCTTAACCATTAGTTCTGTGTACCATTGGAAAGGTATGACGTGGGACTGTAGAGAATTTCATACTCAAAGTGTGTGTGTGTGTGTGTGCGTCCCCAAAGGCAGCTATGCTGCTGTTGGCACTGAAGCACAGAAAAAAAAATTCAAAACAATGAGAAAACTGGTATAATGTGAGAAAAATTCAGACCAAGACTAGTTAAGGTATGCTTGAAAATTAAGAACAGGTTAAGAGAATGATAAATAACATGGAATAATAACTTTACTATACTCATTTTAACTGTTGATTTATGGGTTCTCTCTCAACATAGCATGGGACGATAATCAGTAGAAGAGATATTTTCTATGTGCTCCAGGGATGGGGTGAGGTGGGGGGATCTTTAATAAGAGCAGCTCCAACAGCTACTCTAAGTCAAGTACCCGCAATGTCTCATATATTAGCATCCCCATGCATGCTTCAAAATGTCGGCAGGGAAGCTTTATCTAAAATTCATCAAACGAGCTTCAGTTAAAGTGCCCCCACCACCATTTTGAAGTGTGGGGACACTGACACGCAGGATGCGGAGACTAGATGGAGCGCACTAATAAGCTCACTCCAACGGACTCAATTAATCAAGTCTGCTTTGACACACTAATTACAGCACATCGGAGCAGCCTCCCAGCACATCTACAGACACCCCTAGTGGTTAAAAAATTTAAATGAAGTGTGACCCTGACCAACCTTATCTAAACTGTATACTCCTAACTCTCTAAAGCTGGAACAATACTGTAGTAATTCAAAGCAGTGATGCAGCTTAGCTCATTATTTTTAAAATGTTGAAATTATAAATAGAAAGTCAATAAAAAATGCAATGCATTAGAAAAGGCATCAAAATTTTTTTTAGAAAACAGACAGATTAGCTCTCAAAGGTGAGATTAAAGTTTTAAATTTTCTCAGTGATAATTAAACCCTTACAGAAAGTAAAATAAGGTGGATGGATCATTTTCATTACATGCATTTTATGTAACAATAGAGTATTTTTCACAAATTAAAAATTAACACCTCAGGAAAAGGCACACATTCATGTAGTCAAATTCTTCTAGAATCTGAATTTGTAATTTATTGCATTTGTCTCTTACCTAGATAACTGATCCACCATTACCTGCTCTACTACAGTTTGCTTTCTTTTTTCTGCAGCTGTATCATCCTGCAATAAAAAGTCTATTATGAGCAAATGAAATATGACATACTTAAGAAACTGTTATTCCTTAAGACTATTTTCAGAAGATGCAGTTAAACAATGCAATTGCTCATTTGGAATTTTAAGGCATGTCACTGGATTTTCTTATTGAGTATCTTTTTAATAGAGAAAAGTTTATACTGCAGATGATGTTCAGATAAATGAGAACCAAATGATATATTCTGGTCTATTTAAATTGTTTACATGCACACCATGTCTATGTACATTTGATGCCTGTAAATATAAAAACTCTAATATAAACACTGATAGATAGTGCTCGTTATGGTCATATTATTTTCAGAAAGCGCATTCTTTAAGTAGAGCAGCGCATGAAAAACTTCTCACTCCATCCAACGTACCATGGAATTTACAGTAGATATAAATCCTGATTTGGGCAATAAAGATTTAAGTCCAGCAATCTTGTTTTGTCTTTTGAAAGATTCTGTTATGATTTGCAGTCCACTTACAATTATTTATTTGGAAGTCAGTCAGTCTCTATGTCATCATGTCTTCCTCCTCTGATATATGACAAGATTCATCCAAGTTTTTCCAAGATACAAGAGGGTACTGGGTTTTTGGTTGTAGTGGTGTTGGAGAGGTTACCAGAATTTTTTTTTTCTCTGGCATTAATTAATAATACCCAACTCTAACAGGGTCCCACACCAATGGTGACCGTGATGCCCCAGGAGCCCCCTCAGCTCTTGTCAACCTGGTTCTCTTTGGGTGCCCTCCCCTTCTTCTTGTCTGCCATGCCTTGATGAAATGATACTTTCAGAAAAGGGATGCTGCCCCAGGGCTTTCCAAGTCAGATCTCCTCACGAGTACAGGTGACCCTACTCATTGCCTTAAGGGCTAATTACATGGGCTCCGTCCTCCCCAGTAACCATACCCATGCCTCACAGATGTAATCAATCACTCAGTAGCTCAGACCTGCTTTCTCTGCCCCTGGGCTCCAACCGTTACCTCTGTCCACCCACACCCAGGCACTTTGCCCATTCTGGCTACTCCCAGGTGCAGCTCTTTGACCCTATTTCCACCTCTTGCAGGCACCAGGCACCTGGCCTACTATATCACCTCTCTCAAGCTGCAGGTCTCCAGCCCTGCTTCTCTGGGATGTGGGTCCCTGACCCCGTTGGTCTCCAGCAGTGGTCCTCCCAGGATTTGGTGTGTCTCCTTAGACCCTGGGCCCACTCCTAGGCCAATTGAGACTCATGGGCTCTTCTACCCCACTAGTCTCCATCTATGGCCCTTTCCTGGCCTTCAGCCCTTCCTGGGCCCTGACTCTGCTCCTAGGCCAGTGAGACTTATGGGCACCCTGGCCCAACCTGCTCCCTGGGCCCTCCAGCCCCCTACTGTCTTTGGGCCAGCTGGGACTTCCTTACCTTCCTTAGTCCCTTCCTCAAACCACTAGAGTTGCTTACCTCCTGCTCCCCACAGGAACTCCTCTCTCCATGACTCTCAGAGCTAGACTGCCTGAATAGCTCAGGATCGGGGTTTATATGCTTCAAACCCAGTCACTTTCTGGCAGGTGACTTTCTAATTGGCTCCTGCCACACCTGCAGGCTGCTTTCACACCACCTGCCTTCTAAAGTAGCAGAAGCACCAAGCTCAAATATTGTAGAGTACTTTTCATAAGACGATTTCAATGAACTTTAGAGGGTTTTATCAAAATCCTTTCAATAGAATTGGAAACTTAGGTTCAAGGAGGTGAGGAACTTGTCCAAGATCACCAAGAGCCAAGACTAAAACCCAGGTCTCCTGAGACCCCATCCAATATTCAACCTCTGCTCCCTCCCTTCATTTTATAAGCCAGATTTCTGAACTTCTCTACTGTGTTTCAGTTTGCCCGTATTTCCAGGTTATTTTTATATAGTTTGTTCTCATGGGAAGACAAAAGTTATTGATTCTGAAGGAGTTATGTAAGCTCCTAACTCTATATACACCTTCCACTGAATTTTAAAACATTTTGAAACTGAGGGATTTGGACATTTATGTGATCAGTTATCCATCTTAATCACTACACAGATTTATATGTGCAACCCAAATTCTAAATAGACTAAGCCTCACAGTGTTTGCAGAGGATGAAGACTAGTTGCCAAACACCAGATGAATAAAAATGGTAATCACTACACTAACAGAATTATTATTTACCAAAATACAAATCTTAACAAATTATATTTTAATTCCCACTAGCTAAAACAATCACCTCTCCTCCAACCCAGATTGTTCAACCTCAGCAAGCTATTTTCCTTTCCAGATTTATGATTTGTGTATAGTTGAAGTCTATTAGTTTTGTTTTTAAAATCTTTACACCCATCTTCACAATTATTGGCACATCTGAAAAGCTAAATCCCTGGCCATTATCTGTCCCAACAGAAAAGTAAAAAGTTATCACATATTTGGGGAAAAATTGATAGCCTGTATATTACCAGGTATGGTTTATGGTCCATCATTTCCCAAAGGCCAACAGATTTCACCACTGTAAGAACCAAACAGCAGACATGTTGAGAATGGAGAATCCAATTTTAAGAGTGCAACTTTAAACCTGCATTTCAGTTCAATGTCAGATAATGACTTTTTCCTTTGGTGCTTCCTTCATTCAGTTATTAAGGATGTCTACAATAGGGCTTTAACCAAATATTGGACTTGGGATGTTCATTCATCAAAATGAAAGAAATCTAGCATCAAAAAACCCAGTCCTCCTAGTTAGCTGAAATATTGTGATCTTCTGCAAACAAACAAGCAAAAAACAAACAAAAATCTAATAATTATACTTTGTGTCTAAAGCAACTCCCACAATCTTCCCCAAGCAACATAGGAATTCTCATTTCATGGTCATCCTTCTAAATCACTTTGACATTTTGCAACTTATATTGGCTTTTCTCTGAATTATTTTTGGTAATGCAAAATAACAAACAAATGGAAAGTACAGGATATAAAACAATCTTTAGAGTATTTGTTACATCAGAGATCACCTGATGAAGTGAGCTCTTGCTCACAAACATTTATGAATCTCTGATTCCCTTAGTGTAAAAGATGCATCTCTGCCTTGCCTTTTGTAATAGTTACATTAAAATGATATGTTAACGTGTATGTATAAAACAATCTTTAAGGCTTCTTAAAAATAAACAAATACAACTGACAGAGTGGGGGTCTGCTGTTTTAGGAAAATAAAAAGTTTAAGCATGAAAACTGTAAAATTCCACATGCTACCAAGCCACTCAAAACTGAAGTTCGACATTAAATGTGCTTTGAAAGCCCTAACTCATTGGTTAGTGATAGATGTATAGCAAAACTGTTCTAATGCGACTGTAACAGCTGCATAATTCTGTAACAATACTATTGTAGCAAAACCTGCTCCAAACTGTAATCCCATTTCAACCAGGGTCAAAGCAAACTAAATTGCCCTCACTTCCATCACTGCAGGATCATGCAGACATAACTGTTACAAGCAGTGGCTCTTCCTCCCCTTTTAAAGATGTTACAAATGGAGTTTGGCCATACCCTCTGTTGCTCCTATGTATTAGACAGATACACAAGTTCAGCAAGACCCTCTGACAGAAACTATGTGCTGCAATAACTACTCACAACCAAATGAATCCAATATGTCATAGCAGATAAAACTCAAGCCATTTTCTTTTGGTCTACTGCATAAGACAAATCCTGTCAGCTGCTAAACACTGCTGAAAAAGAATATACAATTAAAGCACTAGTACTATACCTTTGCTCTGCAACTGTGCACAGCCTCTCCTATTCTGCAGAGAAATTAAGCAGCCCTGATAAGGAAAAGGTGGAAACCAAACATGACCAGTGCATAAATGCTAACTGCAGTCCAGTGAATTATGTGATGTCTGTTACAGCCACTTTTTAAGTCAGTGGTTCTCACCTTTTTCATTCAAGGCACCCTATACAGAAAATGCCAGCTCTTAGCTTTCACTTGTTTATCAACCATGTAAAAATAATCAAGTATTTCTGTTGCAAAGAACTCAGAAAAAAACACAACAGATCAGAAATGGTTTTGACACTATGGATTTGTATTTCAAAACTCCGGGTTTATATCTCATGAATCAAGTATAGGTGCTTGTGCATTCAATGGTGATAATATTGTGCAGCACCCAATAATATCCTTAGAAGGATCTCATGGCACCCCAGCTGAGAGTCATTCTTTCAGGTTATCTAATTACACCTGCCACCAACCAGGAGTTGTGACTTGCATGTACTTAGGAGATGCCTGGGGTGGGGGAGCAACCACAAGTGGCAATCAATAACAGAAATATTTCTACCTTTCAGACAGCTGCTAAATGCCTTATACAGGTACTCCTCGCTTAACCTCGTTCCGGTTAACATTTTGATATTACGTCGCTGATCCATTAGAGAACATACTCGTTTAAAGTCATGCAACGTTTGGTTATACATTGTTTGGCTGCCACCTGCTAGTAGGTAACTGCTGTGACATAATCAGGTTCACTTAACATTATTTAGCTTAAAGCCACATTTTTCAAGAACATAACTATGACATTAATCAAAGAGTAGCTGTATGTTGGTTGTAGATTCCAGTCACCCAACCAGCCTACAGTGGCTGCTCTATTCAACTTTCATTCCTTCATCTGATTACAAGGTACAAGGCATAAAACTCAGCAACTCTAAGGTTGCCTCAGAACTGTTCTGTCATAATCTTTACCCACACAGCACAGAGCCCTTTACTATTAGAAGGGTTTTTTAAATTTTATTTTAAAGGTATAATAAGAAAGTTTCTAATAGTAACACATCTGAGAGTTTTCTTTTCACAAAGTCCACATAATACCGTATCTGTATTCACTTTAATGGAAATAAGAATAATCTGCTTGTTGCCAGGCAAATTTCAGTTCAAGCAGATGGGCAAACAGTATTTTCCATTTGTTTTCTTTGCATTTACAGTGTCACAAAAATTCTAATGGCTTAATATGCACAGCACAAATGTTAGCATGCTAATCTTTTCAACAGGAGCTTGCATCTGGACAAAAATAAATTAAGAAAATAATCACTATACATCTTCAGTAGTAAATCCTGTAAAGCCAGACTTCAAAGTTTCATATCATAAATACTCCTAAATTCCAAATTCAGGCTTATTTGGGCATCATTCTTTTTGTACAAAAAACCAAATATATAACAAACTGAAAAAACCATATAGTTAATGTCCTTGCCAATGCCAGATCAGACACATTTTAATTAATATTAATGTATATATACAAAAGTATACATAGAAACACATAGGTGAGACTTCTCAAAAGTGTGCAGCAACTGACCTAAATCCGTTACCAATTAAATCAATGATGAACTGATTTACAGAACAGTTAAGCACTGATCATTTGTCTGTAAGGTTCAAGCTCTAGCTCAGGTATCAGAAGCAGCAGAATCACATTTTCTATCCCAGAAAATATATTCTCCTACTCAGCAAGGCTAAGTAGCCTAGGATGAGCTTTGTGCTAACAAAGCTATACTACTTCTGGTACCCTACCTAGCTGAGATATCTCTACTCAGCTATACATATCAGATAGGAGATAGCTATCTATACCCAAGGCCCAGAACCTCAAGGTTATTTAGGCAGCTAACTCTTAAGAAGGATCTAGGCCTGAGTATTTCCAAAAATCCCAGTCCTTTACAGTGTATCCAAACATATATATGCAGGCCTCTCATATGGGTACATCTACCTAACAATGTAATACCATACAGGAAACTTACAGCTTCTAACTTCTTTATGCTCTGCTGTATATTATATGGATTGCTTGTATAGCACTGCTGTAAGAGGGCTTTCTCATCAAGAGCTGTAAGATCTTCACCAATCCTGTCTTCTGGCTGTGGATCCTAGACAGAAATACACTGCATTTTATTTCTACTGTCTTGGTCAATCAGGTGTAGAACACAACAAATTTTCTCCTACACAAAATATTAAAAATCATTTTTCTTGTTCAGACTTTACTTGCAACAAAAAAGCCTTGCAATTTTACAGAAGTTAATAGCACTTCAAAGACAAGGTGGAGGGACTTAGTACATGTATTTTATTGAGAAACGAGATTCAAGGAACACAGAATGTTTTTCAGAAGCAGTCACCATAAGTTTCAATTTTTAAACCTGAAGTATGCTGAAAGCTAAGGATTTGGTGAGTTTACACAAACGTTTCCTATATTCCCAATGCCTAATCCAAAACATAGTTTTATTATACAGATATTATGCTTAATGAATACTCCATGTTTTATTCTGAAGTCTGATACAAGAACTGTTTTACTGCTGCTGTTCCCAACAGAGCCCCGACCAGGCAGAGACACAGCAAACTCGAGTGCCTAGGGTGGGGCGAGAGTGTGTCAACCACAGTAGACAGCGTAGGTGGCATGGGTGAGTTAAAGGGAAGTCTTACCTTCCCAGGTTGCTTAGTGTCAGCAGTGGCCCCTCTGGCAGCAGCCCCATGGCCAGGCTCCCTGGCAGCATATCCTGGTGCCCCATTTGCTAACCCCCCATATACACATATATTGGGAGCAGGGCTGTCTCTGCTCTGGCAAAGGTACCTGCAGGGGAGGAGGAGGGGAAAGGGCACCAATCTGTTTGCCCCACTCATCACCCACCCTCCAAATTCACTGTTTGGTTCAGTGCTGCACTGTGCTGCACCAAGCTCCTGTGGTTGGGCAGGGGCAGCTCAGGGCTCCTCCTGCTGCAGCAAAGACTCCCAGCAGGGAAGATGCTGGTGCCCATCATAGTCAGTGCCCAGGACAGGTGGCCTGCTTACTCTGCCCTAGTTATGCCACTGCTTGGAGGCTCTGGAACAGAGCGTGTATCCCAGGGACCTGATATCAATGACAGCGCAGGAGAAGCAGCAACAATGACCATTAACACACACACACTTCCTTGTGTTATCAAAAGTAAAGAGTAAACAGATTTAGAAACATGGATCTCTTTCTCCCTTCCATTCTTTTTCACTTTAGGTTTTACTTACAATGCTGGTAGGCACAGTTTCAAAGAGAAATGTGATTTCAAGTAGAGTGTCTCTTAAGGACAACCAAATGGCATACACAACAGCTACATTATCCCAGACAACTTTATTCTCTCTGCATTACAAATCTTCCCCTTTCCATGCTACTGAACTCTCAGCAGCTAAAATGTTCTTTCCTTGTCACTCACTTCAGATATGTCACCTCTTTTGTACTTCTTCTATTGGCTGCCAAACTTCTCATTCTTGACTGAGGCTCCACCCAGCTCTTATGTCTTCAGGGGTCATCTGCCCTCCTCATACCTCTCTTTACTCATTCTTTATGCATATGGCTCACTTTGCCTCTTCTTTTATTCCTACCCTGATGTGTAGGATGTTTTCATGCAGCTCCTCACACCCAGAATAGCATCTCTTTCTGTGCATTCAGGATCCTCACCATACTTCCTCAAACTAAACTAGCACTGGTCATTTTGTTTGTTCGCTATTGCCCCCGCCCCCTTGTGCTGTCTCTCTAAGCCACCTCAATATTTATTTTAAAACAAACAATAATAATAATGAAATGCTAACGAATTCTTTATTATTATTATTATTCATATTGCAGTAGCCCCAAAATACACACATGCACACACTGAGCAATTTTTGTCCCAAAAGACCTTGCAGTCTAAAGTGTTTATATTTATTTTAATCCCATATTCTGCTATCTCAACTTGCAGTTTGTCTTTAAAGCTGGGGTCATGTCTTTCCTTCCTCCCACTTCCAACTCCTTTAAGGAGTTCTATGTAAAGTTATGGTTATAAACAAATATTTAAAAAGAAAGGTTTAAATGGAATTCCACAGTCTAATACAGAATTTCTACCATTATACTTTTTAGCAACACCAATTAAGACTCTTCCTCCAATAAAAATGCAAATAAGAATGCTCCTTGAATAACTCTCATTAACCTTGTCCCTTTGTCTGGTAGAAGTGTCTTACTAGTGCCCATGCTTACTACTCCATCAGAGACTGCAAGCCTATACAGTAGCTTGCATATGCTTCTAATGTTCAGGAGGGGAAGACATTCAAATATTCTTCCCTATTCAGTTTTTACTATTTACTCCCTATTCAGTTTTTCGGGTCCCACAGTATGAGGCATCAAAGAAATATCTATAAAGTATGGTTAAAACCTATTGCTGTGTAACAGAACATTACAATACATATACACTATAATTAAACTTAAATGTACATTTGCGATTTCACAGGATATAGTACCTCTCTGTTAGCTATCCTCTGTGAACACTCCTGAGACTGAGCATTGTCTTTTCTTTTTTCTGCAGTTCTCTGAGAATACAGTTTATATCCCTCTTTCATTTCTGCTTCATACTGCTGGTATTTTAGTTTGTATTTGTCTGCTGGGGATGGCAGATTTTCTGGTACTGTCTTTTGCTCCCAAAAGGAATGCTAAAAACAAAGAACAATCAGGAATAACAACCTCCTGCTGTGATACATAATATCAACAGCAGGATTATTATGCCCACACAGTATAACCTTTTATATGGAAGGGGCTGATGTTACTTAACACCACACTTCACATTTAGAAAGAGCTGCAATACTATTGTGTAATAAAATGAGTGTCTCATGAAACTCTTGATGCTTTGCCTAAAGTCAAACTGTTTTGCAGCCAAATGTATCTCCATCATTTTTCACCAAAAAAATCAAAATCTTCTTGCCAGGACCCAGTCAAATCCTACAAGCATGTGCAGACATTAAGTCTGGAGCTCCAGAATGACCATACATTTGGTATGAATGCTGAGTAAAGGCAGTAAGTCAAAAGATTCTAGTCATACCGGGTAGGCAAAAAGGTGCTTTTCTCTTCAACTGCACAGTGTATGCTTAGCTCTTGGGATCACATCAGCCAGAGATGACTGTGGAGGCAGCTACTTCTTGATTCTCCATTTATTTACCTTCTCCTGGGGTGCATCTAGACAAGACACTTTACTGCACATCAAACTAATGTAATGCACAGTAAAGTGTCACCACCAACAAATGTGCAGGATTTACTCTGCTTTACTCTAATGACAGGGGAAGCTGTGCCGGCTGAAGGGACAGCTGTCTCCCTACCACATGGGGTTTGGGACCCATCTCGATCCCCACATTGCCAGGAGAGCTGTGCTGGCTGCAGGAGAAGCTATGTCTCTGCCATGAGAGGATTGGGACAGGTCCTGATCCCCACATGGCAGGGAGGCAGCTGTCCCTGAAGCCAGCACAGTTTTCCCCACCCGCTGGAGATCGGGACCAGCCCACATGCCCCCTGCCAGCCCACAAGGTTGGTACCTGGGGGAGCCTGGAGCTCCCCCTGGCTCTTCCTGTAGAGGGATAAAGCCCCTGGACTGGGCTATGCCTGACAGAGGCACACGTGTAGATGTGCAGCCAGAAGTGCATTAATGAGCCTAAATTTTCTTGTATGCAAAGGACATCAGAATGGGCAGGAACAGCCACAAGAAGAAGAGACAATCAGTGCAGGGACACACAATTTCTTTCCTCTCTTCCTCTATCTCCTACTGGATGTGTCTACATGTGAATTTACACATGCTTAAACTTAATGCGCCTTAGCCTAAGGTGCATTAAGGCAATTTAGGTGCACGTCTACATGTGAACGCTTTAAGGCACCTCACTGGGCAGCCTGCCCTGATCAGCACCCTGGACAGCTCCCTGAAGCCTGTGGCAGTGTAACTGGGTGGTGCAGTTCAGCACCAGCCAAGGGGGTGGGAGCCTCCAGTCCCCCCAGACATGGTCAGCTCGGCCCTGGCTCTAGCCCCCTCCCCATGTTCCTGCTTCCTCAGTGTTGGACAACAGTGGGCCTGAACCAAGCCCGTGGGACCCCGTGCTGCCACCAGGAACTGCCAAGAAGATGATGTAGCGGGTGCTGTTCTGCAAGGTGCAGATGCTGGAGCCAGAGCGGCAGTTCCAGAAGCAGTGGTCCCTGTCGGCTTTACGCAGATATAAAATTTAGGCATGATTAGCCTAAAATCGCCATTTTTAAGGCGCATTAAGGGTGCACACATGTAGACCTGTGCTCTTAATGCACCTTAAATCACCACATGTAGATGCACCCACTGGGTGTTAGCATGGATCAAATTTAGCTTATTTCCCTGTCCTGCTACATAAAATTAGAGCAGGTCCAGCTGATGCCATGCCAGAGCAGAGCAGTCCTGTTCTAGAACAACATTCATTCAATGGCTTAAGGAATCTTCCTTGAAAAAGAAATTCGCTCCAATTGAAAGATATTTCTGAGTGTTCCTACAGGAGTTTTTAAACAACAGAGTTTGGTGGAAATGGCTAAGAAAAAAAAACTACATTTACTCTTCTAAAACTGACCCTTTCTTGGAAGGATTCACTTGGAAAGTTTACTGCACAGGAAGTTTGAATTTTATTTTATTTTTATAATTTGCAAAAGGAATGTTAATTGGGGAACCTGAAACAATGTAGAAATCAAGGCTACTCACAGAAATGTGTTAAAATATATCAGCAGAGCTTGACTACTTTTCTCCACAAGAGAAGATTCAGAAGGAATAAAAAGATGGTAAGGAAAGATGAATGAATAGAAGATGATCTAGTCTACTTAGGCTCTTATAACACATCTACCACTAAGGTATCTGGTAAAGAATGAAGACAATAAACAGGGAGAGAGAAAATAAAGGAAAGAAGAAAAGAGGAGGTTGTGAGGTAGTCAAAGTCATTCCAGTCTTTTGCTAATCAGTGCAGTAACAGAGATTTTGTTCTGTAAATTTAACATATGCATCAACACAAATAAGAAACACAGCAATTTACATTGATTAACTGAGGCCATTTTAAATATACTAGTGAGATATGTGCTTTTTAGGGAGTTAATTTAGTCTACAAACCTAAAAGTCAGTCAATTAATACGGTACATGCATGCACACAGCCAAAGTTAGTCAATGTGAGTTGTGTTACTAGCTGAATGAACTAAATATTAATAAAATATATTAATTGTTCTAAACAATGTTGTACCCAGCATTCATTTCTCATTAATTATTCTGGAAATGAACACCAACTGATACATACCGAGTGGTTAGGAGGATGTATAGCACCCTAACCAGAGTTAGGTTGCTGTATGCTTCTCATCCTTAAGATCCTGATTTGATTTAAAGTTTGAGATACTCATGTCCAAAAAAATAACATTTGCTGCAATATTTTAATGTTTGCTTCTCTTTTAATAACAATAAAATACCACACTTGATACACTGTCAACATGCAAAAGCATCATAATAGCTATACAGGAAAATAGCAATTAAAAATAATTTCTCAACTAAGCATTTCATGTCATACAAAAGGTATTAAATGTGTTAAGTTTTCAGATCAAAACTGAGCAATTATCTACTAATCAATAGGTAATGTTTTTTCTGCCATGTGTATTTTTTAAGCTACTTTACCTCCATTTTCTTCTGACAAGGTTTACCAGGCATCTGTTTAATGGAAAAGCGAATGAACAGTTAATTTAAGTCATAGCTGCCAAAAACTATGCTTTATGAATCAAACAAATTTGTCAAATTCATTTTTCCAAATTTAATCTAATTGAATAATTCAAAGGAAACTTCATTTTCAAAGAGCAACAACTAGAACAACTGTCAGCTGTGTCATTGTTAAATGTGTGCTTAATTTTATTATTTTGAATAACGATTTTGAACAGTGCTGTAATCATACAGAAAGTGGTATGTTAAAACTGGATCTCTGATTTTCCTGGCATAATAACCAGTTATTTTTGGTCTATTTTATAATTTTACTTTCTCACTCAGTGCGGAAATAAAAGAATGAATACAGATGGTCTATCGAAGGCATTATAAAAGTACATGGTCTCAAATAATTAAGAGGTATTCTGAAACAAACACTGCAATTCTGTTCGAGAGAGAAAAGAAGAAAAATATTGATAAGGAAGTTACTGCAATTCATTACAGTAACCTACATATGGACAAGACCAATTTATTTTTTGCTAGCTGTAATTGTCAAATCATGTATTTAGGACATATATTAGTTACTTTATCATTTTATTATTTTCTAATGTATACAATTTTCTTAAAATTGGCTTACAAATCAAGTTAAAAGCTACTTTAGTAGTTACTCATTTCAGGTTTTTTGGCAAAGTATTAATGTCACTAACTGCTAATGCCCAAATTCTTAGTTGCAAAAATTAAAAGAATTAGGGCATAAATCAGGATAGAATAAAAGAAATAGGTGTGATGTATTTAAGCAGCTTCTTAATAAAAGGCACTTCATTAGAAAGAACCTGGACCACTAACAGTCAGATCTTAATTTTTAAAAATGAAATGTATTATAAATGTGGATGTGCTGTATTTATTTAATCTCTAATGAAAGACCCCATATTTTAGGTGTCTATTGGGAAAAACTGACCTGTTGAGTCTGGAAGTGCTGTGCATAAGGAGTTTGTAATGGTGATCCCCAACTAACAGTTGAAGATGAATCCGTACAGCCATTACAAGGATACCCCTTGCTGTATGGTATATATGTGTCTCCATCCTCAAATAAACAGAACAAAGAATAATTGTAATTTTTCAGTAACAAAACAGAACTTTGACTAATTCCTACAGTAAGTGAATTTTTTTAAGACGATTTCAGATTACCTCTTCATCGGAATCTCCCAGTCTCCCCAAGTCGAGGCATGGTACCCTGGAGGAAGTTAAGATTACTTTAGTAATAATTCAGGACATGTTTTTCCTTTAGACTACAGTACAATGGAAATCTATGATAATGAGGTATTTTCCCCCCTCAAAATATATCTTCTTATAAAACAGTTTCATTGTAACAGTACAAGGCCCAAAAATGCCCCGTAAACCCCATTTCCCTTCATCTTAGGCTCTGTCACCATATCCTTTCTTTGTCTACAGTTTCAGAGAACACTGGTAGTTCTGAAAAGCCTTGGAAGACTAACTCCATTCCCAGTGCCAAACATTCCTAGCAAGCCCCTCTGGCTTCTCTTCACAACCCTATGAGCTGCTGCAGTAAGCTGTAAGTCAGCTTCCAACAGTTTGTACAGCAGGTATGCATATTTTTAATTTTTTTTCAAAACTACTATAACATCATTAGTCCTTGAGCTAAAAGCCTTGTTCAGCCTGCAGACTCATTCAGTCACTGGTGAATGACTGAAAGAATGGCTACTGAACTATCCTTTTACTCCCACGTGACAAGGTGATGGCTGATGGATGTTGGCAGAACAAAGTGGAGAGCTAATATGACTTCCAAGCCTTTTGGAAAAAAAATAAACTTCAATGTATTCGAAAATATCAAATATGTCACAGGTAATATCCCTACTCCCAAGTCTCAAAATCCCTAGGCTTGGATATAATGCACAAACTGAAACTTCCCACCATACTCTCCCCATGATTGGTTCTCTCTGTTTTACATTGTTTATATCTGGAAAAAACAGAAACTGATTAAGAAAAAATGATAGCTCCTATTCCAACTTCTCTTAAAAAGTATTCAAGATAGTCTACTGTGCAATCACAAATAACTAAAGAGTTACTTAACCATTTTGTTATAAAAACTTAAGAAGAACAAATAACAACATCTGGAAAAAGATCTTGTTTTGCTAAAATAAAACATAAACCAACTACTTTTAAAAAGTACAACTATAATAATTACATTTCACTTTAAGTATAAAATATAGAAAAGAAGTTTACAGCAACAAATTTTAGTTATTTATACATCAGAACAAAGTAGGGGTATACCAATAAAGATTTTTTTGCCTAATACCGCTGGCCGATTAGTAAACCAGCTATGTCAGCTGATACTGGTCCGATAGCCAATATGCAGCCCAGCAGCTTGAAAAGTAGCGTCTAGCCAATAAGTTTGTGAAGGATAAGGGGCATAAGGGTGCAGATTGAGGCCCCCATGGTGAGGGAGGCAGTGAGGCTAGGGCTGGGGCTGAGGCTGTGGCAAGAGCAGGAGCAGGCGTTGCCCAGCCAGGGCAGAGCAGGGCAAGGGAAGGAGTCACAGAGGGGTGGGGAGGTGGGGCGGCTCCCCCCCGCACTGAGCGTGCCCCTGGGGTGTACAGGGGACATGTGCCCCCTGGTTTTGTGTATTTGGCAAGGGCGGGTTGCCCACTGTGAGCTCAGGGCTAGAGGCTGCACCAGCTTCTTCCCAGTGGGGGGCTGGGCTGGGCCTGTGCTCAGGACAGAGGTGAGGCAGGCGACACTGGGAGGTGGAACTGCAGCAAATTTTGAGGTGGCTATAGTCTTCCCATAGCCCCTCCCTCACAGGGCCACCACCACCTGCCCTGCCCCTGCCCACCCCGAGAGCAGCCCTGGCCTAGCCCCCCGATGGGAAGAGGCTGGTGATGCCTCCAGCCCCAGGCCTGCAGCAGGCAACCTGCCCTCACCTTGCATACAAATCTGGGGTCCACATGCCCCCCATGCCTCCCCTGGGGTGCGCGCAGTGGTAGGCAGCTGCCCCACCTCCGCACCCTCCCCTGCCTCCTGGACGAGCCACCCACGGCACCGTCCCACATCCCACCCCAGCTAGGCAGCACCTGCCCCAACCCCACCCCTTCCCTCACTATGGGGGCCGTGATCTGCCCCCCTTCCACACCCCTTCCCTCCCCCGAGCCCCTTCCCTGCCACAGACTTACCAGCTGGACACTGCTCTCCAAGCTGCCAGGCTGTATTCCTGGCCATGTGCACACTGTGACTGTGCTCATAGACACAGCATCTATCGGTAACATTAATCTGCTCCAACGGCCAAAAAAAGCCTATTGCCAATAATGTCAATTTTCCTTTTATTGGTGCCAATCCAATATGGACCGATATATCAACGCACCTCTAGAACAAACATCAGTAAATTACATTATTTATTAATCAAGTTACTTAATGTAGCAATACAACAGACTGCTCAAAAAGGAGACTTACTCAGGTGGACGAGCTGCTCGTGTATTTGGTCTCCATCCCTATTAAATTGCCAACATAATAATTATTATTATTTAAAAAACACAATTTTATTTTTCATTCCTCTACTAAAGTCTAATATTATAAAAGCCTAAGTCTGCCTGTGTGTCTGTCTGTCCATAACACTTTATTCATGCTCTGATAGTGGCTGTCTTGGCAGCCAATCATAGTGCCCTACACAGACAGGGACAGACAGAGGAGCGGTGCCATGGCAGTGGGGATTGACAGGCCAGAGGGGAGGGGGGCAAGGCCCCTACCCAAAGCAGTGGGGTGGGGGGCGAGGGGAATGACCCCGGACCTGGCTCGAAGCGGTGGGGGGAGGTGGTGAATGGCCCAGGCCCTGGCTCCAGCCCAAAGTGGTGGTGGGAGGCGGGGAGCGGGCCTGGCCCCAGCCTCAGCCCAAAGAAGCGGGGGGAGGAGTGGAACGACCCAGGCTCCAACCGGAAGTGGCAGAGGGGAGGCAGGGAGCACCCGGCCTGAAGTAGCAGGGTCAGGGGGGAAGAGGGGAAACAGCCCCAGCCCGAGGTGGAGGGGGGAGGAGGGACACAGGCCTCTGTCCCGACCCGCCCCCTCTCCCCCCCCATCATTCTTGACAGGCATTTGTTAGTTATTTATAATAGAGACACCAAAACAACTTAAAGATGTATTGGGTTACAACACTGTTGACAGACTGATAGTACTAAGTTCTACATTTCCGTTTCACTGAAAGTTGATTCTATAGATTCAGTATCTATGATGTCTTCAATACCCGTGTCTAAGACTATGACTCAGCTGTGGTAAACAAGAATAGAAACTTTCCTGGCCATCAAGCACTTAAAAGACTAACCAGAAGTGGTGACCCTACCATGTATTGACAATGCATTAAAATGGTTTACACTTTTGAAATGCCAGTATATCAGTCACTTTTCCTGGTGTCTCAGGCCAGGTACAGCCATTGCACTTTTATCAGTATAAGTGACTGGAAACCGGTCTATACCCATAACAGAACAGAAGTTCTGCACACATAAATTTGTTTAAAAATGGCAGAACCCAATCTAAGTTTTGCCCCCGCAAAGGGCAATCATGTGTTCTGTTTGCTACCAACCTAAACTATACTGCTTGCAAAAAAACACATAACTTGCATCAATTGTGCCTTGGGCTTTTTGAATGTCTGTACTGTCATGACCCAAAAGGCATGATTGTGTGTGTGCGCGCTTTGGCACCAGAATTATCCCCGTCAAGTTGCAGAGCATTGCACGGGAGTGTTTCCTGTTGCAGAGGAAACCCCGGTACAGGGACCAGTTTCCCGCCTTTTCTGCAGCTTCTTTTGCAGAGTGCATTGCTCATGTTGCAAGAGGAATGCACGGTGCAAAAGAGTTCCCGCCACCGGTATGCAGATTCGTTCCCCGTGATTGGCTAGTGCTAAATTATTCACACGTGGCGGCTAACGATTGGCCTGTTAGCCGTATAAAAGGCTTGAGCAGTTTCCGCCCAAGCCGAAGAGGACTCCACATCCATCTCGTGGGGACTCTGGGTACACGGCAGGGTAATAGAAACCCTGTGTGAGATTCAGAGGAGCTTGGCGACCTGATCCATCGCCCACCTCTTCCCGTCTTCGAGCGCAAATTTTATAAGGTGTATCTCCGATTCCGATTTTGGTGGCTCGTTCACCCAGAGCATCCGGAGCTCTGTTCCGTGGAGCCTAGCAACCTCCACGAGACCGTCTGTGTTGTCTTTCTGTAACCGCAACTTAAGCAAGTTTTCCAGCCTACACCACTGCCATCTCGGTGTAAGTAAATAATCTTT